TTTTGGGGGAAAAAAAAGGGTTTTTTTTGGGGGAAAGTACCCCAAAAAAAAACCCCTTTCCGGGGGGGGGGGGGGGGGGGGGGAAGCAGCGGTGGGACCTACGGAATATATTGTGTATTGTGACGTACCTATGACGCATGTAGCATCCGCGGGGTCACACGGGAGGCATCGCAGGGACCTCTTTGCTTTTTTTTCTCATCTCTCTCCCCCCCCCCGCGGTGCTCGCCTTCTGTTGTTCACGCAAGAAGGGTTCAGCGGTCCCTTCCCCCTTGCTGCTGTCGCTGTCTATACTCACGAACAAATCGCTATAAACCGCTTTCCATGTCAGGATTGCATCTTGTTCACTCCCGACAGAGAGAGATTCGAACCCACAATCAGCTGCTAGTAGAACAAACGTTTATGAGGTTTAGACCATATCGGGCGATCGGCTCTTGTGACAGAACTTTCCAGTGGCCCGGATGGGCACGAGGCCCCACCCTTCCCCTTCGACATACACACGCACCCACCCCCGACATGACGCCACCGCCGTTGACTTGTCGGAGCTTCAACATCATCAGCAAAGACTGCCTGGACGATCCGCTTCCTCGTCCGCTTCCGCTTCCGCTTCCGCTTCCGCTTCCGCTTCCGCTTCCGCTGCTGCTGCTGTGGCCGCCGCCCCCGACCACCTCCTCCGTGCAGCCAGCGTTCCGGCGGCGGTCGCTCCCACGAAAAAGCGGCACCGACACCTCGCGCTCGCTACCCAACACCGCCGCAAGCGAGTGCTCCGTGACCGGTGTGCCCTCGGGGAGGGCGTGGTCCTGCGGTAACGCCGGCAGAGCGAACGAATTGCCTTGGGTGAGGGGTTTGTTGCCAACCCCGGCACTTAGGTTCTAGTCTAAATCCAAGGCACGTGATGGTATGGAATGGCAATGGTATGGACCCAGATATTATGCTTCGGACCGCAGCTAGCTGCGGCCAGCCTTAGACGGCGCGTGTCAACGCCCATATCGCTGCTCCACGATACTCGCTACTGGAATAGTCTACTTATTTGTTAAGGCGGGACTTCAGCAACGCAATGGCCGTGCGCCGTGCGTATTTGACTGAGCACCCACCGCCGTGTCGCGTGTTTCGTCTTGAATTTAGCATACGTAGTGGAACTCTGGTCTTGGTTTGGGAGGTGTGTGGAGTTGTGGCGGCGGCTGTAGACTCCTGCTCTTTGTGGTACGTGATATGCTGTTGGAGACAAGCCCCAACCGCTGCTCTGCTGTGTGACAACTCACGGGTTTTCTGTTGCAAAGCACTCCCCCCCCGACTGGTCTCACGCGTCTCTCATGTGTGCGATTGCTGTGTGATTCCTCGGTGTTTCGAGATCAACCAAGAACATCGAGATCGATTGGCAACACCAAACAACGAGAAGCATCGTGCTGATTCTGACGGCATTGGATTGCTGTCGTATGCGGTATAATTGCTTGGAGAAGAGCTCACTCGGCAGCGCGATCTCTCCAAAGGACATACACGTACCTCGTAGCCCAACGCAGTCTCGTTTTCGATCCTACATGTATCAGCGTTGCCGCCGGTAAGCTGTATTGACCAGAACGGTTCATCATCTCCGTCCATTGGTGCGGCGCGGCGTGGGGCTGCTGCTGTACTAGTAGATCCTTCCTTCCTTGCTCTCTCTCTCCACGCTCTTGTGTACTCAAATCTAAAGCTGCACCTATCGGTCTGACGAGGGATGAGCGACAGCGCCACAGACGACACACACGCTTCAAGCAAAGCACGGTTGGTTGCACCTTGCACCAACGCCCAACGGACCATCAGCAGGAGGAACCTTGCCTTTCATTAAGGAATAATAAAAACACACACAGAAAGACTACCCATTCGAGATATACCCACAGTAGTCTTTCATCTGGAATCTGGAACCTCAATTTCGGAACAACTTGAAAGGTTTGAGCGTTTGAGCGTTTGAACGTTTGAACGTTTGAACGGTTCACCCAACAGCAGTCGTGGTTCAGTGGTACCAGGTTCGGACCAACGGTTCAACCCGTGACCCGTGACCCGTCCTCCCGTCTCCCGTCTCCCGTCCTTCAAAACACAACACTGACAACTTCATTCACTGTTCATGCAAGAGACCATGCGCTCAAAAGTCCAGTATCCAGCCGGTTTTTCTGCGCATGGTACTATCTACGATATAATACGTTTAATTGTGGAGATTTCCTTCATAATAAACGTTACAACGGTACGATCTCCCAACGTCTGTCGAGGACGTTCCCTCTAATCACATTGATTGGCGTCGCGATGAGATGTATGTATGTCTGCTTTTGGTGGAAGAGACCCCCCGCGCCGGGTTCGAATCCGCCATCCCCGAAAGTCCCACATCACATCCTGACCTCCACATACGAAGTGCAAACAAACGTAAGGAGCACTTCTTTCTTGAACGTTTGATTCGTATTAAGTAAAGAGTAAGTGTTAATTAGGATTCGAGCCGTGGGCACATGTACAAGTATGTGCAAACTGTCGGAGGTGGGCTTCATTGAGTCGTACAGAAAAGAACAGGATGTGCGCGGTCTATCTGTAGTTTTTGAGAACAAGGGAAGTACCGGATGCGTCACTTGTTTTTGTGCATTTGACGCATGGTTGTCCGAAAAGGCGTGTGTGTGCGGGTACTGCGTGTGTTGGTTTTGGTTTGTTTGGTTTGCTCTCTCTTGCTACTAAGAGAGGGTAAACATAGCCTAGAAGAATATATATGTGTTTCGAATTCATTCAGTGTCACGGATGTGCTTCGGTAGGGAGGTGTTTTTATGTAGTAGTATTCATTCGCGACAAGCGTGATTGTTGTTTTGTCTCCACCCTTCCATACTTACTTCCTGACATATGCATGCCAGGTAAACACGCCAAGTGGTTTGAGCATGTGTAGTTGGTATGTATGTGTGTGAATCTAGGCAAGAAAAGAGAACATAACAAAATCTTAATGTACGCATGTTGTGTGATCTTTGCATGACAACAAGTGTCCTCTACGTTTATTCCCTCCGCACGACGACTACAACTCTACGTGTAGTGTGGTGTTATTATGTGCAGCACGTCTCTCATTCAAGCAGTAGGGAATTTGTAGACACACACACCCCGTTTTACACCCGCCCTCCACTATCAAAATTGAGAATCAATGTGATGGCGGTCCCCTCCTCTTTTTTCATGTCGGAGACACCCCACCCCACCCCCCCGAAAGACTTGGTGACACATAAGAAAATAGTTCACCTGACTGACCACGTTCACGTAAAAGGTTACATATGGAAGACAAGGGTGCTTGCACTCCTTCTCGACGGGAGGAACGTCCCCGGTAGTACTACATGCACACTCATCATGTGGCCTACTACTTGTGTACATGGCAGCAGCATTATTTTCTTCGTTCACAATTTTCACGAACGTTTTTCTTCACGCGAATCACTCTCTCACGCGCTGCTAGTTCGAGGGACGGGCACTTATCTACCGTAAGGGGCGGAGAGACGAGACCCACCCCTAGGCCGACTACTGTCAAAGCTCGATTGCTCCACAACCCAGTCGGCGGAGTGGCGGCACGTGGCGAGGGTTGCCCTCTTACGACCGCGGTCATCATGCACGAACCAAGCGACACACAAACCCGAGGCACCTGCAACCGACACCGCGGCCTGCTCGTGATAGAAAAATAAAATTGGGCAAGCTTAACATCGTCTTGACTGCTGTTGATGCTGCTGTCTTCAAGCACTGCAGCACCACCACAAAGACGTAGGTGTAGGTGAAATACCACAGCTACAGTAGTATGAGACTACTTGGTGCGTCACATGAAGAAGTTGTGCATCTTACAAGTACGGTGCCTCGTACCGTGGCGGTGACGGGGGGGGGGGTTGGGACAACTGGACGGCGCGGCCACCAACTTCCATACCATCCTCGTTCCAATTTGATGGCGGCCTTGAGCCACAAATAAACTCTCAGGCGGCGGCAAAAGACCAAAACACATGATAAACAAACAGGCGTTCACCGGAGGCAAAAAGTCACGTTAGACAGCGCGGTGACACCCCATACATACTCTCGATACGTTCCAAAAACAAAACAATAAATGTCCACGAACCAGTCACCCATGACGTCGGAACTAGGATGCAGAAAAATACACGAAATACGAGGGAGGCACTTATCGGATGCATCCTTGACGTCCGATACAGGTTCAGTCTTGTGCATGCCGCCTACCAAGCTTCAAGCTACAAAATTAAGAAACAGGAGAAGGGGGCTCCTCAAACCGTGAATGATCCCGCTATAACGTAATCAAGATCCAACAAGGAACAAATACAAAATTATGCATACAACGGCAAGGGGCGGAGACAGAACAAACCAAACGCGATTTTGGGCGGTCGCCGAAACCTTACAACCCCCCCC